ACACACACACACACACACACACACACACACACACACACACACACACACACTAAAATAATGTAATGGCAGAGTAAGAAAAGAACATTCCACACAAGAACCAGATAAAGGGAGTGTCTACTTTAGAGACTCAATCAGAAGTTCTGGCCCAGAAATCTGCATTGCTTACCAGGGTAATTCTTCACTGTGGTTCTTGAAAGGAGATGTTCCAACAAAGAACAACAAAGTAAAAAAAAATACATGGAAAACAAGCTAACAGACAAAAACAACTAGAATCTGATATCAACATGGGAAAAAAAATCCTGCTGGTTATTCTAGTGACAGACAGTTTCTAAAATGATGGGGCAGAAAGTCGTGAACCTGAATCCTGGATGGCCATGCTCAGCAGCTGACTCCACACCACCACCTGCTCTGAGCTTCCGAAGTGGGACTGGCATCTGTTCTGGCGGGGAACATGCTTCATGCCGAAGGTTCACATGCTGAAGGCTTGGTCCTGTAACACAGTTCAAGGATGCCTAAATCATGAGTGTTCTTGGTTCATCAGTGAATGAATCCATTGATGAATCTGTAGTTGACTGGTCTATAAAGAAGGAGGGCCTCCCTGGAGTAGGTCACTGGGAGAGCAGAATATCCCTGAAGGCTCTATCTTGGTTCCTGTCCTCTCTCTCCCTACTCTCCCTTCCCTTCCTTCCATTCTACGCTACTTCTGTCCCAGCCACCAAGAAGCAAGGAGCTTGACTCCAGCACAGACTTCCCAGTAGGATGCTTGGTGTCAAGGCAGCCTATAACAATGGTTCCCAGACTATGGGTCACGACCCCATTGGGGTTGCATATCATACAGCCTACATATCAGACATTTACATTATGACTTATAACAGTAGCAACATTACAGTTGTGAAGTAGCAATGAAATAATTTTATGGTTGAGGGGGTCACCATAACACGAGGAACTTTAATAAAGGGTCACAGCATTAGGATAGTTAAGATACACTAATAAAGCAAGGGAGACGATTGAGTATCAGCTGAAAGCACAGGGTAAAATAGCTTTTCCTATGTGTTCTCTCCTTTGTATTTTCTATAGCAGTGTAAATTAACATAACCTGTATTTATAAAAGCCACTGTTAGTCCACTTTTTGGTTAAATGTAGCCAAAGGCATGTCTCATGATTTAAGGGCTTTTTCTTCTTCTTCTTTTTTTTTCTAGAGAAGGCTTAGACCATATCAGTGAAATGAAGCATGAAGCAGTGATGCAGTTAAGTGTGCTATGATTTAAAGAGGACCACAGATAAAGTCTTTTTCACAAGTAAGTCATTCCGTTCTATGGTTATAATCTATCTGACTAAACAAATTAAATGTGCATTTTCGTAATACATTTACCTTGTAATAAGTAAAATGGGAGTATTTCTGAGCAATGGCCCTTATTGAGCATATGTTATATACTGGATACTCTATTTTGGATGAATACAGTGGAACACAATGGCTCGGCAGTTAAGAGCACTGCCTGCTCTTCCAAAGGTCCTGAGTTCAATTCTCAGCAACCATCTCTAATGAGATCTGGTGCCTTCTAGAGGAAGAGACCAGGTCAGTCGTCCTCATCAACTTAGACCATGAAACCCAATATGGACAAGTTCAACAGAACCTTCATATACGAGCTGCCCATGCATACTTCAGCATTGCTGGGGGAAAACAAACAAACAAAAACAAATGAAACACAGACACACACACACACAAGAAAAAAAAACAAAAATAAACAGTGGTACACACCTGAGACTGAGAAGGCAGAAGAAAGAAAAGCAGAAATTCAAAGCAAGTCTGGGCTACATATAAGTTCTGGGCCAGCCTGGGTTATAGAATGAGAACATTTTAAAGAAGGAAAGGAAAGAAGGAAGGAAGGGAGGGAGGTAAGGAGTGAAGGAGGGAGGACAAACAAGAGAAAAGAAGCAAAAACTGGGTTAAAACTTTATGTAGATAGTTCACCCAAACTTTATAATAGCATTGTGGTATATCACAATTCAGCATTAGTAAATAGGAAAGCAATGCATTCTAATTAAGAGAAGGGAGGACTCTCCAAGACCATCAGTATATGCTTGAAGAAGGAAGGGCAAGGATAGCAACTGTGGTAAATTTGTTCATTCCCAGGTACCGTCCCTAGCATTTTTACCGTGCATATTCCTTTCTATTAAATTATGTGTGTCTCCTATGGTATAAGACAGATTTAAGTCTTTCATGAGAAATCTTCCTTAGCATTTAGGTATAATCTCTTTATTTGTTGGAATGTATATTTGGGGGTCACCACCATATGCCTAAATTATACAGTATTTGGAGTGGGACAAACAGCTTACTCCTAGAAGGTACAAAGTATGTAGGCACTAAATAAGTCCTAGCAAATGTCTTCGAACTGTTTTGCATTTTTCATACATAAAAGTGTTCTATGCTGTGACTTAAAGATTCTTATTTTAGGCTTACTTGTAATTGTACTCCATTTAACTCGGCAAGTATAACTAATTTGTTACTAATAAATAAGTTTTATGTGGGTTTTCAGCTAAGGAATGTCTCTATCTCCAGAATAATGGAAATTTGAGAACATACATAATTATATTTTATGAAGTGTTTGATATCCCCCCACCTCACTCCCTCTCTCCACCTGCCAGTTCTGTTACAATCAGGACTGACATATTCACATGTAAAAGTCCATTTAAGGAATTTATCTTGTTTTAAAAACACACTACTGTTGGTGTCTTAATTTTGCTCTATCACTTAACACATATTTTATTTAAGGACAGGGTCTTGCTATGTATTACAATACTGGCCTGGACCTCACAATGTTGAACAGACTGGCCTGGAATTCTCCATCCTCCTGAGTGCTGTGGTGGAGAAAGTGTGAAATCATGCTAGGCTGGGATTCCTTAAAAGAATAAAGAGCCTAATGTTCCTCTTCACATTTGGTTACATGGAGGAGCTTCCACATGGGTTATAAAGATCGAAACAATTTACCGGTAAAGATGTCAATGCAATTATACCATTAAAGGAATGAAAGGAATGCACCTATTAAAACTGCCTAGTTTTCAACATGGCATCCAAAACAGTAACTTTTCTGGAGCTTATATATTTGGTAATTAAAAAAAAACATATTTACAAAACTGTAATGTTATTTAGTAGAGAACTGTATTGCATTGTTCCTATTATATACTAATACACCTCCAGTTCAATTAAATTCATGAAATAAATGAGTTCTAAGATGAAGATGAAATGCTCATATAATACACAAGGGCATTGCTAATTTCAGGTGGCCCAATGCCTTCTAAGAAATAATTCTCACGACTGAACTCTAGTCCAGTGCCGGGGGACTTGCTTGTCCATGAGGTCCTGGTTCTAGCTCTTTAACCAGAAGAAAAACGAAAAACCCTAATTAAGCAATTCAGCATTTTTTTACATTGAAAAGTATGTCATCTGGGAGATTTCAGGATGAAGCTCCGTGGGAGGAAAAAAATTGAATTTCTTAATGTGCAGTTGCTTCTATATTGCTTTTAGCTTTAACTTTTTTATCTGAGAGAATGAAACATACAAATCAAATAAACACTACCATTACATTGATTATATGAGAGTAAATTTATCATGTATGCGATTCATGTTTATTGAAGTGTATACAACTGTGTTCAAAGACGTATATGTTTTCACTTGTGGGCACATCTGTATACTCAAATAAAAATTTCATTGCAATAATGTTCTATAATAAGGATGCTCAGTGATTTTTCATGAACATATACTTTAAAAACATGCATTTTATGATTTAGAACTTCAACAAATCCATAAAGTGAACAGATTCTAGTTTAACCTAGTATCAGTTTTGCTAGTGTAGCATACAGTGATTCATTTATTACTTTAATGTCAAATTCTTGATTAAAGTAGAATGCCTAATTTAATTTTCTATGGGGACTTCCTTGGAGGAAAGTTGGGAAACAGCCAACGGTTCATAAATGTGTCTGAGCTTTTCTGAAAGGTATTTCAGGGCGAGAGACTACTGGAAATTACCTAAGTGAAATTTAATTAATTTGCTTTTCTATTTGTAGATTTGAAGTAGTATCAGGAAGGGCTATTTATTGTACCACACCAACCAATTCTCTGTGATGAAACAGAGAGGAAAGAAATGTCCAGTGCCGGTTTTACATGTCGAGGGCACAGCTCAGAGGGCTGGTAATGTCTAGCCTGGTGAAAGATATAAATGGAAAAATGCATTTTTTTCAAGTTTTAGCGTGGAAATTCTGCTTTTAAACTCAAGCATTTTGTTTTCAAGCCTTTACATATTTTGAAACACGGCTATCAGAGAGTGAACATTCATGATGCAGTACTTGTCTTTACCCCGTGCTTTTGAGAAGGCTGCAGTCATTAACTCTTCCATTTCAGGGGTTGAACAAAAAACACTACAGAACTTTTTTTCCCCCTTTTCCTGGCTAAGTGATACTGAAAATAACACTGATAAGGTCTGAACGATCAACCCGGGGACCTTTAGTTAAAGCAGAGGCGATTAGACAGGGATGGGGCAGAATATCCTCCTCTAAATATGTGGATACAGTCAAGAAAACCCTTTTCTAAAAGTAGATGCACTAACGAGCGGTTTTCTTTTTCACGGCAACATGTTCGAAAGGTTGGGCCAGAGTCGGCTACCTTTTACCATCGCAACACTGAACATGACTCGATCTGATTTTTTTTTTCTTTCCGTTTCTTTCTCCTCAAGGAAGAGGAGGGAAGGGTTGGGATCCTATGAATTAAAGACCCACGAGCTTGCCACAGGTAGAACAAGATTTTTCAAAAGAGCAAACCTAAGAGCGAAACGAGAGGACTTGAAGCGCGAACCGTGCGAGGCCTGTTTGGACCGGCCCGCGGACACCGTTTGAGCGCTGCTGAGGGGATCCCCGGTGTCCGCCGGCCGACCGGGCCAGCGCGCCCACGGGGACAGTGGGCTCCGGTCCCGAAGGGTGAGGCACTTGGGGCTGTCGCGCGAGTGCGTCACTGTCCGGGACGGGAGACAGGTCCGCTAAGGGAGTGGGCGCCGAGCCGCGCGGGGCCGCTCTCCGGTCCGCTGACCCGGCTTCGCCTCCCACCCCGGTGTGGGGCGGGGGAGAGGTACGGGCGGCTCGAGCGGGGACCCCAGGGAAGGTCGTCTCGCTGCAGCGACAGTCATCACTCTCCGGCCTCCACACGTTGCGGGTGCCGCCCGGCCGCGCGCCTAGGAAGCGCCGGTGACTGACGGAGTCACCGCCCCCTCCTCCCCCGCCACCCCCCCTCCAGGCGCCCCTCCCTCGGGCCGACACGTCATGGAAACACAGACGTCAGAGGCCTCCGGCCAATCAGAGGCCGCCGCAGGAGGGAAGAGGAGCGCAGGAGGGGGCGGGGACAGCCGCCAGCCCCGGCGCGCACAGGGAAAAGGAAGAGGGAGCGAGGGAGGGGCGCCGCGGAGGCGCGAGTCGCCCGCCCTGCACTCCGGCCACCCTTTCGGCCCCGCGCGCTGCCAAGTTCTGGTCTCCGGGCGCGCGCTCCGCCAACCCGGGGACGCGCTCGCCGGATCCTCCCCTTAAACGCCCTCACGGTGAAG